CATCAAGAGGATGTGATCAATCAGATGAGACCTTGGCGTTGAAGATCAGAGTAAGTCTTCTTGTTGTAAATGTTACCTTCACGATCTTCATATTCTTCTTCAAGTTCTGGCCTCCATTTGTTCACTCCTTGCCTCTCCTGTATCCTCTTCCACAATTCTTTGGCTTCCTGAAACAAACCAAACAACAACAAGATCAAATTACCAAACTATTTACTACTTTAAGCTGTACAAAGTCTTTGATCATATTATATTATTACCTCAATCGAAGTGATTTCGTTGAAGTTCTTTGTGTTTGGGATTCCTAGGCAACGCATTCCGTGTTGGTGTCGCCATTCTTTAAAATGTCTCTCAAAAGCCCTTCTTCCCCAATAGCTATAGTTCCCACATATCTCGCATTTAAACTCCTGCGTAATAACAAGAAATTTAATGTGAATCTATGTTCCTTTGATACAACAATGGTCTCATAAATAAACTACATACCTGGCCAAGGCCATGAAGTTTGTAGAGCCAGTATGGTATAGGCTTCCCATCCCAACCTATTGGTAGCTTCAGCGGATTGTAAATCAAACCGTCCTCGTCATCACTTTCTAATTCGGTATTAGCTTCCTCCCCTTCACGTTCTCCCTCCATTTCTTCATATGTCAACGACTGTTTCTTTACAACGTTTTGTTTTGTCCTTTCGATGGTCTATAAAAGGTGACAACAAGAAAAGTTAACAGAAAAAGTACAACTAGATATCTGGGAGGGGGAAAAAAATGTCACTATGAGCTTTCAATCAACTAACCTCATCAAGTAAATTGCAGAGTTTCTTCACTTTGGCCTCTGTTAGTGCAATCTCTTTAGCATTTTCAGACTCATGTGTTGATTTGGCATCTCCGTTTTGTTTTCCGTTGTGTGGAGGTCTGGCAAAATGTTTCTTATCCAGCTTTTCCAAAGGCGTATGCTGTACAAAAATTGAATTAATTAAGGGAATTAGATAACCTCAAGGTAATAAGAAAAGCTTCAAATAGAATTCAATCCCTACAAAACATGAACTATGACAACAAAAGCCTTAGTTTCATATTAGAAGAAGAGCTGAGCTGAACTACCAAACTAGGTTTCATAACAGCTAAATGTTCCTTCCAAACCCAGTAAGAACAACAAGAACGCGGCTACTAATTGATAAAAGTACCCTCTCATAAGACGAAACTTAAAGAAATAGGAGATTATATAGCAAGTGTAAAAACCTTTGTCAGGAAAAGTCTCTCGGCACGCTGCTGCGGAGTACCACCAACCTTCAGTCCTAATGCCCCCAATGCCTGAATGGCATACAAAGAACATATGATTAGGGGAATATGCTTCAAAAAGGATATTAACATGAAGTAGTATGGTCATTACCTCTTTTAGCTTTTCAGGTCCTACATCTACCAGTTCCTCGACTGTACTGTAGTAATCAAGATCTATGACAGTATGCTGAGATGGAATAAGTTCATTATCCAGGCCTTCTACTATTCCATCTGCATATTGCTCTTCAAAATCAGAACAAACCTGTAAAAGAACCAAACATATTAATCGCAACAGATCAAACAATAGGCACAGCATTGGCCAAACTAGAACTACCAGAATGTCAAACTATAACATGGTTCAAAACCTTCCGAGGATATACAATCTCTGCACTTAGAGCAAACTATGCACCAATGAATATTGAATACAACCATCTAGTTATGGCCATTTATTTTCCAAAATTATGTATTATCTCCAGGGGGATGAAAGACTCACAAAGCAACCAGTTGTTAGAACTAAGGAAATCAAATCCAAAGTTCTACACTTAATACTTGGGAAACTAGTAGAAACTTCTTAAGCACGAATAAATATACCAGTTATGTACTAATGCATAGTTCGAAACGCCCATAAAATTTCATAAGGCAACAAGGTAAACGCAATAAAATGATAAAGAAAGGGAGGAGCTTAAACCTTAGAAAGTATCCGGTCAAGATCTTGCAACGGCTCGGTTCGCTGGAAGAAGTAGACCAGGTACTCAAGTAGAGCTTCCATATACTTCATGTATTGCCTAAAATGAAAAATAGCAATACAAAAAGGAAAGCCATTCAGCTGCAGCTAGAAAAATAATTGGAGGCTTTCTAAGTAAAAGAAAATTCCAATGAAGTGTTTACCTCGATAACTTCAGTTTACGCGGTATTTTCTCTGGTTGAGAAAAAACATCAAGGTAAGCAGAATATTCAACCCTTTCCCCAAATTTAGAGTTGATGTACTGGTTATACATATCATGCAAGTCCAAGTACCGACCATTGCCTTCCTGCGTAACAGACAAGAAGATTTAAGTATTGACAATAAAAAAGGGGCTTACAAACTGTTAAAAAATGCGTCAACAAATAGCAACAATAAAAAGTCAAGCAGAAACCTACCTCTCCACTGAACGCAATAACTGGTTCCTCCTTCAGGCGTGCTTCGTAGTCTTCATTAGCATCAACAAGACGTCCAGAAGGATGCCTTTTATGATATTCACGTATCTGTAAGTTTATAAAAGAAGTTAAATAGTTGCAGCTCTGATGCTTTCATCAGTGGTACAAGAAAATCAAATAATTCAGACAATAAAAAAAAAACGAATTAGCAATTTGAATCTTATTCAGGGTGTCCTCATGAAAATTTCACCGCCTTAATACTATTATGCAAAGCAAGCCTTATACAGCTAACCAAATTGTTGATGGAACAGAACTAATACACTTTCACTGAGATTTTGTACATAATTCTTGATTCTCCATCACAGTGGTTCAAGGCAATCAATAAAACTATTTTTTTTTAAAAGATCAACAGCTAAATAACAATGTCTAGATTAACTAATAGTCCGGTAAAGTTAGCTGCTCAATCTCTAATATACAACCCACAGAAACTAAAGTAAAGCCAAGTCTTGGTATAGAGAACCATAGGCAAGTTTTAGGGAAAAAAGACCAAGGAAGGTGCAAAGGATAAAGAACAAACCTCTTTCAAACGATCGTAAAATTCACTAAACACATTTGTCCCTGTCGCAGTCTGGCCACCAAGCGCTGCAATCTCATCATCCCACGCCCCATCCTTATCTTCATAGGTTTCAACCTTACAACAAACAAGAATCAAGGTTAGCATTAATCCAAGTTTGAGTTAATTATCAACAACAAAAATTAACTCAAATTTGTGAAATAACACCGAAGCATGCTTAGCTCAAAACTTAGAATCCCTACATACACACTTAAGACCCCAACTATAACCTATATTCAACACCAATCTCTGAAGTTTCTTCTCAATTTAACACCCAAGCCAGAGTGATTCAAAGCTAACTTAAACCCCACAATGATAACCTAAAAAGCTAAAGCAATTAACAGAAAAAGAGGCAACACTCAACACGAACCTGTTATTTAAAAAAAAATCAGCAACCCAAGTTTCTCTGCTCTGATCTAACGTATTCAAAAGAGAAGAGACATAAAAACATATGCGGGAAATAGAAAAGAAGATTAAAAATTGACGAGAAGAAGAGAGAAAGCGTACAAGTTTCTCAGTGGTGAGCATAATAGACTCAATCATGTGACGAACACGATGTCCCTGGACCAATCTGTCCTTGCTGGACGGTGGCTCCTTCTGTAGATCTTCCACAACCAATCGCTCCAACCTTTCAACCTCTTCGTGATTGGAGCGAGTTTGCTCGAGGAGAGTCGACGACATTTCTCTGTCTTCGAAGCTTTGAAATCTCCTTCTTCGCCGGAGTCTAAACCCTAAATTCCAGTCACTTTTCTTTTCCTCAATCCGAAATCTCGCCAGTAAAATTTTTAACGCCAATCCGAGAGAAAAAGATAATCGGGTGGTTTTTGTTGTGGTTTGGGTCGTTTAAGCCGAACTATGTTTTGGGCCTTTTTAGACGGTTTGTGTTTTAGGCCTTTTTTTGACTGTTAGTGTTTTGGGCCTTTTTAGACTCTTTTTTTTCTTTTATATTTTATTATTATTTTACTTATTATAAAAAAATCTATAATATGGTAAAATACCATTTGGTAATTATTTTCTTTTAAGATCTATTCCATTTGGTAATTTATATATTTTTTATCTGATTGCAATCCTCTTTTAATGGGAATACTCAAACATTATGTGTTTGTTTGATATTGTACTATACTTCAATGGGTTCATTTGCAAAGATGTTAACGGAGAGAAGGTTGTACAGAAAAAAAATGGGCAGTTTACAACCATCCACTATGAATGGCTTTGATATTGGTAGCAAACTAACACAAAATCAAGTCATCATTGTCAAAGTTAAAGAGTTAACAAGCCATTTATTCACTCTTTTCAAATTGAATTCATGATATCTCACATGATATAAGATTTGCAAGCTATCTCCTAATAGTATTGAGGTTTGTTGAGATGACATCTTTAATAGATCAATGGAAAGAGCTATATTTGGTTGTTTTCCTCAGGAAAGAGCTATATAGGATGATCATATATTCATATTGGACCAACGATGGGCATTTTGGGGTAAGTATTGCCACCTGACAACAAAATAATAGCCAATCCCATAGACTAATCTTATGACTTCTGATATTGATTTATGTTTGTAAAACCAAAGGAAGATCTCCGAGTGGACATACAAAATTGAAATGTCGTTAACAATTCATATTTGGTATTATTTTTTTATCTATAAACAATTTGCCATTATTAGTCACTTCCATGTCCAAGCTCAAGAATTCTGTTTCAGGTGTTGTCTTTGAAAGATAGTCCATGCCAACATCGTTTACATATCAGTATATCACTTACTTTACGGCAAACTAAGGCAAACCATATTTCGATTAGTTCATGAGTCGCTAATTGTAACTTAAGGATATCAAGGTTGGAAGTAATTCACTTTGAAACATCACCATTTCGTATGAGTTGATCTTCTTAATAAAAAGATAATAAATACAGAGAAGCAAATGAGTGTTCATCGTAAACACAGCAAACCAAATCAAGAAAACAAAGCAAATAAGGTTATTCATTTCAAATGGTGGAATCAGAATATCAATAAGCAAAAACTGGTACATGGTTTGATTCACGTTTGAGTTATATGTTCCTCATTTTCCACTATTCCATCAAACCAAAACAAACAATAAAAACTCAAACAAAACTTTTGAAAAGCGGCGAAGTCAGAGATGTTAAATATGCCTCAAACAGTTTTAAGCTCATAATGAGGAAATTACCCCTCATTCGCACATCTAATTGGTTCATCATTCTCGCCGTTTCATTGCAAAACCAATAAAAACAATGTATCCTACCCGATTATATAGAACGAGATACTAAATGAACGAAATTAAAATCTGAAAATCCTCAAACGCAAAGATCTCTAGCAGATAAAAGAGATAAACACTTATATCTGAAGAGTCAGCGAGAGAGGACCTTAATTCCAGATCTAATGCCGATAAAAAAAAACTCGACCTATAATAAATCAGGAAGGTAAAAACTGGGTTAGTTCTTAGGAGAACCCTAATCAAAAACCCTTAATAATTTCGATTTAGCGCAGCAATGACTCGACACGCTTCCATTAAGCATTTGTGGAAGGCGATCTTAAGGGCTGCGCAACGATTTAAAAAAAAAACGATAAATACGAATAACACGATTGAGAACATAAGCCCTAATATCTAAGAATTGGGGGTTATAATCGAAGATGCATTGTATATATAGTGAAGACTTGTTTTACCCTAGTCGAAGAAGCTTATCCTCGTTTATTGACTATTGGGCTTTAAGCCCATGTTATTTTAAGCCTTATAGGCAAAACAAGACAGAAAACAAAAAGACCAGAATCGCCTTATTCATCAAGTTTTTTTCTTCTTACTTAAACCGAACCGAATTGGATTGAGCCATGCCGACACGGAGTTCTGCTCTATAACTTTAATTCGGCACGCAGTCTAAATACAGAGACACTATATGACAAACTCCTCCATCGCCGGTGGTCTGCACAGGGGAGGGGAAACAGCGATTCGAAAATGTCAGGTCGTGAAAGTTACCGTCTTCAGCACCGAGATCCATCTCAGACTTCATATTTTGATGTATTACCAACCTTGTTCATTAATCATAATTGGACATTGTTTCCTTCTATGATGTCGTTTTACATTTCACTCATTGTACTCTTTTCTTTGTATCTTGTTGCTAAAACAGACAACTTCTTAGCAAAATCTATCCTGAAAGAAGTTATTGTCCGTCAAGGTCTGATGTAACTCTCAAGCGATATGTACTGAATTCATGAAGTAATGGAATGTGGGAGTGTACTTTTCACTGAGGTACTCGAGAACTATCATAGATGGCTATACTTGCCATTAGAGTAGTGGCTTCTCAGCTTCTCTTGTTTTCATTCAGGTTTCTGACTCATATAAACCCGATTTCCCGCAACTTGATGCTCAGACAGAGCGTTAGTCTTTTGGAGAGCTTGCAATCATGCTGGAAAGAAGATGTTCTCGTTTTCTCTGCTGCTGGCAAATTTCTTCGCTTGACATTGCAGCTTCGTTCGAGGTTTGTGAAATTTGACTTTAATATTATCATCAATATTGATAGACATATATCTAGTGAAGATAACGTGAAAACTTGCTTGTTTTACCTTAATCGAAGAAGCTTTTTCACGTTTATGGACTTTAGGCCCATATCTTACGACATAATCACTTTGGAATTTTGGATACTTAAACCATTTTATGTTAGGCTCGTAACTGACGACATAATCAATTTGGATACTTAACGTACCCAAATTGGGTTTTGAGATATCATTTGTTTCACCTTCTTTTTCTTGTGGAGGAAGTCAAAATAATATGTAACAGTAATGCGGTTTGATGCAAACAGAAATTTAAAAAAGGAAAACGAACAAAACAAATTTGACGAGAAATTGTAAACAAAAACATATTACAGAAACAAGAAATCTGTCACGATCTCAGAATATGTAAAGATAAGATAATAAACTGATTTCAGTTAGTCTTGTCATTATTACCAAATTCCTATAAGGATATTTGCGTTATATCCTTTAGTATAAATGATTTATTTTCTTAACTAATGAAACACAGAATCAAAACGTTTATAGAAACATAAATCTCATTCATCTTCCACACCTCGTCTTTAAGAGACGAGTCCGTTTCTTTTCATCTCCTCTATCACGATTCACCATCACCAAAACACAACCTCTTAAGATAACGTGAAGAAACTATGAGTGACATCCAAGCAAAAGAAGATGCGGCGCCTGTTGATAGACAGTCTTCTTCGTCGGTTGTGGTTCCTGATGAGCCGTCACCTCTAAGAAAGATGATATCAGTGGCTTCTATCGCAGCCGGTATACAGTTTGGTTGGGCTCTTCAGCTTTCTCTCCTAACCCCATACGTTCAGCTTCTCGGAGTCCCACACAAATGGTCATCTTTCATATGGCTATGTGGTCCTATCTCCGGTCTGCTCGTCCAGCCAACCGTCGGTTACTTCAGCGACCGATGCAAGTCAAGATTCGGTCGTCGTCGACCTTTCATCGCCACTGGTGCCTTGCTTGTTGCCCTTGCTGTTATACTAATTGGATTTGCGGCTGACTTCGGCCACACCATGGGAGATAAACTCGACGAAGCTGTCAAGATAAGAGCCGTTGGTTTCTTCGTTGTCGGTTTCTGGATCCTTGACGTGGCTAACAACACTCTTCAAGGACCTTGCCGTGCTTTTCTTGGTGATTTAGCAGCCGGAGATGCTAAGAAAACTCGAACTGCCAACGCGATTTTCTCTTTCTTCATGGCCGTTGGAAACGTTTTGGGATACGCTGCGGGATCGTACACTAACCTCCACAAGATTTTCCCTTTCACAGTGACTAAAGCATGCGACATCTATTGTGCAAATCTCAAGAGCTGTTTCATTATTTCCATCACTCTCCTCATAGTCCTCACAATCATAGCTCTTTGGTACGTGGAAGACAAGCAATGGTCGCCTAATGCAGATTCCGACAATGAGAAAACTCCCTTCTTTGGCGAGATCTTTGGAGCTTTCAAGGTGATGAAACGTCCAATGTGGATGCTTCTAGCCGTCACGGCCTTGAACTGGATCGCATGGTTTCCTTTTCTTTTATACGATACCGATTGGATGGTTCGTGAAGTGTATGGTGGAGACTCAGCAGGAGATGACAAAATGAAGAAACTATACAACCACGGAATCCAAGTTGGTTCGTTGGGGTTGATGCTTAACTCTATCGTTCTTGGAGTCATGTCCCTTGTTATTGGAGTGATTAGTAAGAAAATTGGAGCTAAAAGGCTTTGGGGAGCTGTGAACATAATCCTCGCGGTGTGTTTGGCAATGACAGTTTTGGTTACTAAAAAGGCTGAGGAGCACCGGAAGATCGCTGGTCGGATGGCCCTTCCTACCAATGCCATCAGAGATGGAGCATTGAGTCTCTTTGCTATTCTTGGAATTCCTCTTGCTGTAAGTCCACCATGTCTTTTACCAATTTTTGTTACTATTATCCATGAATTATTATTTTGTTTAACAATATTAATCCATTTTTTGGTATATTTTATAGATTACATTTAGTATTCCGTTTGCATTAGCTTCCATTATTTCAAGCAGTTCCGGTGCCGGTCAAAGTATTTAATTTTAACCTCTCCTTTTGTTTCTAATTTGAACCTACATTCTCATAGTAATGCTAATTAAAATGTGTGAACACAAAAAACGGTAATGGAGAGATCAGTTTCCAATTATAAGAAAAACGATCGAGTATATATTTTCACATAGGGTGATGTATGTTATGTACTAATTTATTGGTTAATTGATATTTTTATACAATCTGTTTACATCTTCAATTATTAGTTGGTTTTCATTCACCATATAAAATTTGTCATAAATGTATCAATAAGATACATAATCGTTCTGTTTAAGATTATTATTAAAGCGTTTATCAGATTAATAAGGATAGTGATAACATTTTTTGTCATTTTTTCAGGACTCTCTCTAGGAGTTTTAAACATGGCAATAGTGATACCACAAATGATTGTATCGTTTGGAGTTGGTCCAATTGATGCGTTATTTGGAGGTGGAAACTTACCTGGATTTGTGGTTGGAGCTATAGCAGCTCTAATCAGCAGTGTTGTGGCACTTACCGTTTTACCTTAATTTCTTTTCTTTTTTTATTGTTATGTGCTTCTTTTTTATTGTTATGTATGCACATGTTTAATATTAATGTAGCATGTGGCATATTTATTTACATTATTTAATTAAAGTTTTAATTTTAAAAAGTTCTTCTTGTTTTTGTTTAACTTCTATATCTATGTCAACATCAATCTGCATAAATTAAAGTATTTTAAACTTCTAGGTAAATAACAAAAAAAAAATTAATATTATGCATAGGAATTGTAAATCTAACATTTTTACCTTTATATGACAATTCATTCATGATACATTTTATTTTGTAGAAACAATGAAATATTCAAAAAAACATAATACACTTTAAAAAAGTATAAAATAAAATAAAATGAAATCAAAGACCAAAAAAATAAATTTAGTCTAAACAAAGACGACATGGCAGGTGGGAAGACTCGAGTAGACACATGGATGAGTGTGGTAGCAAAAAGCTTACCGGCCGCGGTTTAGCGAAGAAAGAAATGAAGGCCTACACTAACTTTAGAAGGAGAGGTGGATGAGTGTGTGTTCAATTTTAAGAATTTAATTTTTGTATTTTAGATTCTATTAATTCTAGTATTATTTAAATTCTTGATTAACAAATTTTATTAAATGCTAGTGTTATTCAATATTAGGATTAATAAAGAAAAAATCCCACTCAAGATTGTGAATAAAAAATTCCAGGAATTCATGCAAAGATTTGGTTAGAATTAATTCAATTCCTTAAAATCTACTTTTGATCCTCTTAATTCTTTAAAATTTCTTAACTGAATACTACAATTACAATTGAGAAGTCGTAAGTTTCAATTGGTACGAAATGTACTCAAAACTTATCAATTCGAAATGAACATCATCATGTAGCAAAATTGAAGCAATATATATGTGGATCTACTGATACTAAGCAAAAAATCAAGTATTCTCTTTCTCGATGAACTAATTTATCAGTCGTAGCCTAGCGAAGAA